TTATGAAATTTGGTAGGTCGGATTGATTGGCCAAATATAAAACCCATAGAAAATCCCAACTTCCTAACTTTACAAACACGAAAGTTATGGCATTTCCGATCAATCAGTTATATGGCAGCTATAGGATATAGTCGGCCGATCCCGGCCGTTCCGACTTATATACTGCGTGCAAAGGAAAGAAGGGTGTGTGCAAAGTTTCAATCCGATAGCTTTAAAACTGAGAGACTAGTTTGCGTAGAAACAGACAGACGGACAGACGGACAGACGGACATGGCTATATCAACTCAGGAGGTGATCCTGATCAAGAATATATATACTTTATAGGGTCGGAGATGTCTCCTTCACTGCGTTGCACACTTTTGACCAAAATTATAATACCCTCTGCAAGGGTATAAAAAGGTGGTACTTATTTTTCTACTTTGTCAAGGCTAAGAGTTCACCCACCTGACCTTAATTACAAACAACCACATACTAAATTAAATAAATATTTTATTTCAAATAAAATTAAAATTAAACTCTATGATTGTTTTAAAATGTACGAATTTACTTAAATATATTTTATCAAGTTAGAGAAATTAAGAACAAAAGATATGTGTTGTGATTTTCTCCATTATTTCCTCTATTATCTCCCTCTCATTAAAATGGCGTTTTATTCAATAAAATTTGTTTAGATGGCTTATAAAAGCAATCCAAATTCGTTTAAATTAAACTGCACATCCTTGTTTAAGCCATTCAAATTAAATTCATAGGATATCCTTAAGTTACTTTATTTCTAAGCTCACACTCGCTCAATTGAATTCTGCTTAATTTATACAATTGCATACATGTTTGTGTATTTTTGTTTGCCTCAACATAAATCTTAACAAAGCTAACGGCAATGCCAACAACAAATGCTGCTAACCATTTGTCAATTTTAAATACATTTATTGTATTTGCATGCCTGTCTAGTCCCCGCACAACGAAAGAAAAAGGCAACAATAATTTAATAACCCACAAAGCGACAGACACACGCTCGCAAAAATACACACAAACAAATAGACAGACTGACATTCGAGCCAAGTTGCCTTGTTGGCCAAGTGTTGTGTCTATGTATTATTCAAATTCAATTATAAAAAAAGCAATAAATAAAAAAATGTTTACATGCAAAGGAGCTATGAGAGATAAGACAGAAAGTCTACAAAAAAAATCTTCGTTTGTATCGAATACTCTAAGGACTTCATTGCAAGAGTTGGTGTCGAGTCCCCTATGGATATTGAGGAAAGGATAGGTAGAAAAATAAAAATAATAATTAATAATAAGTTTCATATTTTTTAAAGACAACTAATTTTCTGATTACTAAAGCTATAACATTTTTGGGAAAAAATTATATTTTCTGAATTTTTTTTAAATACATTGTTACGTTTATGTATCACCAGTTTATCAAATCTTTTTCCAGATGTGAGCTGTGCCTTTCAAAATTTCCGATATTAGATAATTTCTTGAATTCAATACCACAATTCCCGATAAAGTTAGCATACCCTTTTCTTGTGGACCCGAAACCGTGCGGCAAACAGCAAGGGAAGCAAAACCGAAAAAGAATATTTATTATTTGAAAAATACCTTGAGGCCGTGGCAAGCGTCGTGAGTTCATAAATAACATGCGGTCCAAAAACGGACAAAATCAAGCGAAAAGTGCAGAGAGCGGCAAAGAGAATTTGATAAGCGATAAGGGGCGGGGCCCCGGGGCGGCCATACAAATAATAATATTAGTAATAATAGTAATCAATGTGTAGTGTAAATAATAAATAACACTGGCCGCAGAGGGTCCCGGAAAATGCCAATAAATTGATAGAAGATGATGAGCCGTCGGTCCTCGAAGTTGGATGGCCCATGAGCGATTAGCCCCGCACGCAACAGCCGTGAAGAGTGCTCACAAAGGTCAAAGGGAAGCCCCCGGTACAAACACACTCGGCGAGATAGAAAGCATAAACAACATAAATTTATTTGCTGTTAGCCTAATGTTATTTATACCTTTCAATTACAATAACAGCAGGAAGCGGGGCGGCGGGGCAGAGGGTCTGGGGTCTGGGGTCTGGGTTTGTCGGCAAAGTAAATAATAAACCATGACCCATCAGCAATCAGCCAGAAAAGAGGACCCCGTCCCCAGCTCCCACTATCAAGCATAATGCGTGCGCATAAATAACTGGGCCATCTCTGCGACCCCGCGAAAGGTGTGAATATTAAGCCGGTGGCAGCGCCAGTCCCCCAAAAATTTACGGTTGCCCGTAAAAGTTCCGCTCCGGTCATAACTCAAATTCATGCCTCCCAGGGGAAAGGGCTGGTGCCGCGTTGCCAACGCGTTTGATTTTGGCGCCCAACTCCAGCCCGAAAACGCCCGACAAATGAGGCAGCCAACCGCAGCAATATAATTCGGCAAATCTAGGGATGCAAAACGACATTAACGCGGGCTCAGCAGCCAACCGCCGGATCTGCTCAAGATTTTCACCCAGAAAACGTGGCAGATCAATCACTCGGGGCGACCTTTTGTGATGCGGCCTTAACCTGATATCAACCAGTTGACGTTTACCTTAAACTTTAAGATAGTTCGAGATTAATCCTCTAACGAACAGACATCAGCATTGTTTTAAATGAGCCTTAATGGGCTCAGGTCTTTAAATTAGGCATATGTATAGCCAGATATTCATATCACAATTTGTAATTCACTGAGCTGCACTTTAATTTAAGATTACATAGAACCTTTTTAAAGTGAACCGATTAAAGTATCTAAAAGTATAGAGAAATCAATTGAAAACGAGGACGGAAGCTAACTTCGGCAAGCCGAAGTTTTAATACCCTTGCAGACTTTGCCGAAATTGCTAAAACTGAAAAAGTAGCGAAAGGAATAAGGTATACATAAATAAACTAGATTTGCATCGTTTAATGTCAATTGCTTTTATACTGCAAAAATGTCATATAAAAATAGAAAAAAAGGGATACTTTCGCAGCATTTAACTATTTTTCCTACGGAAGCTATAAGAAATAGACGTCCGATCGGCAAGCGCTTTTACCCTAATCCAGATATGCGTAAATAAATAAGACTTTGAAAAATGTATGTCAATAGCTTATACACTGCGCGAAATATTCTAAAAAATATGAAATTTTGACCGATTTCACCGTATTGTTCCTATGGGAGCTATAGGATATAGACGTCCGATCAGCACGCGCTTTTACCTTGATGAAGGAATGCATAAAAAAATACGATTTGAAAAAATGTACAGCAATAGCTTTTACACATCGCGAAATATTCTGAAAAACATCAAATTTGGACCGATTTTACCCTATTGTTCCTATGGGAGCTATAGGATATAGACGTCCGATCGTCACGCGCTTTTACCCTGATCAAGGTACGCATAAAAAAATAAGATTTGGAAAGATTTATGTCAATAGCTTTTACACTGCGCGAAATATCCTAAAAATCATTCAATTTTAACCGATTTTACCCTGTTGTTCCTATGGGAGCTATAGGATATAGACGTCCGATCGCCACGCGCTTTTACCCTGATCAAGGTATGCATAAAAAAATACGATTTGTAAAGATTAATGTCAATAGCTTTTACACTGCGCGAAATATCATAAATTCTTGCAAGATATATCCAATTGTTCCTATGGGAGCTATAGGATATAGACGTCCGATCGGGGCGATTTTCAAACTTGATCTGCGTACACATGTTTTAGGACGATTGTGAAAGTTTCAGATCGCTAGCTTTTAAACTGAGCTCGCAAACGGTATTGAAACAGACGGACAGACGGACAGACGGACAGACGGACATGGCTATATCGACTCCCCTATTGATCCTGATCAAGAATATATATACTTTATGGGGTCGGAAACGTCTCCTTCACTGCGTTACAAACTTCTGACCAAAATTATAATACCCTCTGCAAGGGTATAATTAAGCATGTCTACCGTTAATATGATTTGATATTAATTATTACATTAGTAATCTTTACCAATTTACAATAAATTCAACCCAAACTTGCAGTTAAAATGCCAAAAAAGAGGTTTAAAGTTAATCATTTTCTATAATTACAGCTATTGAATAAGCCTACAAAAAACATTAAAATTATCTTCGTTACGATACAATTATTACTAGTTACAAATATTTTAAACATTTTTAGAGTGTGGATATACTTGTCTGTCAACTAGTGTAAAAGTACGACTATTAATTTTGACTTGTTAGTGCTTGACTTGTAGATCTTGATGCATAACAAGAGAGAGCACTATAGTCGTGTGCCCCGACTATCAGATACCCGTTACTTAGGTAAAGGGAGTGCGAGGGAGATGGAGATAGAAACTTTGATCACGCATAACTTTTTAACGAATGGTCTGATTTGAAAAATTTCTTCTACATTACATTGATAAACACAATAAAACTGCATTTTTACTTTTCCGAAATATTTCAATTTTTAAAATCGTATATAAGCGATTGTGGGCGTTAAAGGGGGCGTGGCACCATTTTGAAACAAACTTGCGCTGCGTAGGAACTTCTAAAATCCACATGCAAAATGCCAATCTTCTAGCTTTTATAGTTTCCGAGATCTCAGCGTTCATACGGACAGACAGACAGACGGACAGACGGACATGGCTATATCGACTCGGCTAGTGACCCTGATCAAGAATATATACACTTTATAGGGTCGGAAACGCTTCCTTCTAGCTGTTACATACTTTTGCACGAATACAATATACCCTTTTACTCTACGAGTAACGGGTATAAAAATGGTACAGTACAGTACAAAATACGTGGTACCCTAATTGTACAATAAGTTTACTGCAAAAGTACGCGGAAGTAATTTTGCCAAGAAATTGCAATCGCTGATTTGTTTAACATTTTTATTTCATTTTTCCTTTCTCAAAATCAATTTGCAGTTCGAACAGGCGACCCCAGATAACCCAATCACGAAAATGCACTGATCTGCTGAAACACTGATCAAGCTGAAACACAGTTTCCAATCTACATTCGCAGTGTGCAGTTCGCCATGAGCTCTCTTTGGCTATTTGTGGTGCAAGTACTTTTCCTTCTGCCCCTCGTGGAATTCGGAATGGCTCTGGTGAGCGATGCGGAGTGGGCAGAGTACAAGGCTCAGTACAATAAGCAGTACAAGTTCAACGACAATTTTCATCGGGCTTTGTACGACAAGAAGGTCGTAGCCGTGGCCAATCACAACAGGCTCTACGACCAGGGCAAAGTGGGATTCAAGATGGGACTGAACGAGTTCTCCGACACAGATCAGAGTGTGCTCTTCAGGTATCGTACGTCGATGCCCATTCCTCCGGAGCCCTTCACTGAGGGCGTGACCAAGTCGCCGGGATACAAGAGCTACGACCAGATAACCGGGGGCATAGACTGGCGGGAGTACGGCTACATCTCGGCCGTGGGAAACCAGGGCACCGAGTGCCTCAGTTGCTGGGCCTTCTCCGCCACGGGCGTCCTGGAGGCCCATCTGGCCAAGAAGTACTCCAGGCTGGTGCCACTGTCGCCCAAACACCTGGTGGACTGCGTTCCCTCTCTGATTAATAACTGCAAAGGAGGCTGGGTCAGCGTGGCCTTCAACTATGTGAGGGATAATGGCATTGCCACCAAGCAATCCTATCCCTACGAACCCAAAGTTGGGGCATGTCGCTTGAAAAACATCAGAAGGCCGGGCATCATTCGTGGCCATGTAACTCTAACCAGCCGGGATGAACGGGAACTGGCCGAAGTGGTCTACAACATTGGACCCGTGGCCGTGTCCATTGACCATCTTCATGTGGAATTCGAACAGTATTTCGGTGGCTTCCTCAGCATTCCGACGTGCAGGTCCGATAAAATGAACCTCTCACACTCCGTTCTAATAGTGGGCTTCGGAACCCATCCGCGGTGGGGCGACTACTGGATAATCAAGAACTCCTATGGAACAGCCTGGGGCGAGAGTGGCTACTTTAAGCTGGCTCGGAACGCCAACAACATGTGTGGCGTGGCAACCCTTCCCCAATATCCCCTTGTATGAGTACAGATCGTAATGGAAATAAATGTATACTCACCCAGATAATTTACTTTCATTTTAATTCGATTATTAAAGGACAAGAGATCGATGGACTATTCATTTTCATATATGTACGAATGAATTACGCATTACAGATTCCACTATATTATGTAATCTTTTCTTGAAATAAAGGTGGCATCATGATTCCCGAGAACTGGAAATACTGTAGATGTTTGAGGCGATAATGATAACTTCTGCTCTCAATCAGTTATAATATAGCATTGCACTTGATAAGTTTGCAATGCGTCTCAAGGCAGTGTCTTGATTTCATTAAATTAACTGTTGAGTACGCAATGAATAGATCGAAATACATTTATTTAAATTTAAATTTAAATTTTTTAGCCTCTTGGTATTGGGTATTGGGTATTGTTGCTATTTTTCTATTAACGCAGTTATTAAATTAATATTGATCGTTTTGGTCGGAAAAATAAGTTTTTATTATGTAATTTTTATTATATTTTTAATAGTAAGGCGCATCTTAAAAGCGTAATTTTTGCATCATATAAGAGAGCGTATAATGGTCCTGTCACTAACTACAAGGAGCAACATACAAGAGCCCACAAAAAGAGGACTCTGGAATTCCCTTTTGCCAGCCCTTTTACCAACCACATTAAAGGAAAGCCAAGCACCTTTAACTTTTGATATAATTACAGATTGGACAATTCTAAATTTGTCATTACTTGTAAGGTGCCGCATACAAATGCCTGTAGTTATTGGCCCAATGTCCTTCTGCTCTTCTATTTGTGACTCTTCGCTGGAAGAAGGAGGACGACTGATTGAGCAGCGGATACGTCTGGACAATTGATAAAATGTGATAAACGCGCAGCAGGGAGAGACAAATGACTGCCAGGTTTGTGCATTAGCACGTGTCCAGGTCGAGGCAGTATTCGGTACTCGTACACAGAAAAAATTATTATAGGCTCTTGAATATTTTTATTTTTTTTGGAACCTTCATTTTGATTTTAGTTAGGCCCATTATTAAAAATACATTTATAAATATAACATTTTATGAACAAAATTATTATTATTAAGGACTCATTAAAATAAATGTTTAAGTTTAAAAAGCTATACACTTAACTGTTTTTAAACTGATACTGGCATGTTTTGATATCTATTGATTTAAATCTCTTCTTAAATTAATAAGTGAGAATTTATAAATATGTTTATCAAAAATTCTAGACGACCGAAACATACTTGTTTAAGCCAAGACTAAACTACTGAACTATTATATCTGAATTCTTTGGTTACAACGTTTTTCTGCAGTACGTTAGATGTTCTAAGAAATTGAGTTAAACATTATTTTTTCTTTCCGTGTAGCAGAACTGTGGAACTGCCAGGTGACTCGAGGAACCTTAAATTTAACTGCCATTTTAACCGGATCATTTTGATTTTAGTTAGGCCCATTCTTAAAAATACATTTTTAAATATAACATTTTGTGAACAAAATTATTATTATTAAGGACTCATTAAAATAAATGTTTAAGTTTAAAAAGCTATACACTTAACTGTTTTTAAACTGATACTGGCAAGTTTTGATATCTATTGATTTAAATCTCTTCTTAAATTAATAAGTGAGAATTTATAAATATGTTTATCAAAATTTCTAGACGACCGAAACAAACTTGTTTAAGCCAAGACTAAACTACTGAACTATTATATCTGAATTCTTTGGTTACAACGTTTTTCTGCAGTACGTTAGATGTTCTAAGAAATTGAGTTAAACATTATTTTTTCTTTCCGTGTAGCAGAACTGTGGAACTGCCAGGTGACTCGAGGCAGCCAGCCAACAAATTGAATTTATGGCCTGGGCTAAGCGTTTTGGGTGTCAGCCTGGTTAGGTCTGATTCATTTGCCAGATATAGCCGGTGAATCGGGGAGTCTGAGTTTCGGGGCCTGCTGCTCAAGTGCTGCTTTTAATTTCCGACTCAAGCAGTTGGCGATTTGCCGGCCCTGCGGCCTACAAACAATTTCAAGCAATTTGCCTAAAAGTGGGCAACGATGTGGGCGGGGCAATGAATGGCTGCCAGTCTATCTGGGGGCATGCATCTAAATGAACTTTGCGTGCTGTCCAGAGGAGCAGAGAGGGATGGGGCAGGAGAAAGAGATGGGGCGAGGGCCGGAGAAAGAGATGGGGCGAGGGCCGGAGAAAGAGACCGATACAGATACGGGGAGCCAGTGACAGAGCCCCAGGGGACAGCAGGCAACTCTCACATTGATATGATAAAAATGTAGCAATGTGAATAATTTATAATTGCCACGCAAGCAACTAAAAGATCTAACGCCACAGTGAATAAATAAGGTTTAGAAAACCAAGACCGTTTTAAAACACTTCTGTTTTATATTATCAAAAACTTAATCCTCATAAACAAATTGTGACACTTTTCTTCTTGTTACCTTAAGAAACTCTTTTTGATAAATGAATTTAAATTGATAAAAATGTACAATTTAAGCATACATTTTAAATTTATATTTGTTTTTAAAAAATTACCAGATTGGTTCTCCTTCCTGGCAATATGCAAATCTCGGAATTTTTGATGTGTTATCAAAAACATTTTTTTGTGCTTATTGTTTTTATTTATTTATCACATTCACTTCGCATTCGCAGTTTACCGCGTTGAAATCGATTTGCATACTTCAGGAAACGCCTACGACAGCATTTTCTTTTTTTATTTGCACGAATTGAATCTGGCAGAAAAAAGGGCAGGGGAGTTGAGGAGGAGACATGCCAATGTTTGCAATAGTTCCTGAAAAACGAATACCACAGAAATACATTAAGCCGAGTCGCACTTCAAGTGTCATCAAATCTCAGAATACTATAAAATCCACATAAATGTATCGCAAGTTCCATTCGAACCATAAAAGCTGTAAAAAATCATAAGGAAAATGGCAGATGACTTATAAAAATATACGGCTTTATATAAAGATCTCGTAAGTGGTGTATTTAAGATGCAACTGAGTTAAATATAATAGATAAATATATCCCAAGGTGTTGCGTACTTAAAATATGAAGCATTTTTAAAGATTAATTGAATAACCATAAATTTATAAGTATTAAATAAAATATATATTTATTAAATTTATCCTAAGCCGATAATTATATTGATTATTAAATATAACTTGAATATTAAGTTAAAAATTATAAATTATCCTATTTGTTAATAAAATCGACAAGCAAATGCTATTGACAATCCACTAAATTAGAAGTTAATAAATAAACTAGTAAGTATTAATCTTTGATTATTACTATCATTATAGGCCTGAAAACTAGTCCTTATATTTTAATTATAACAAAAACGGTTGTGTTTTCAATACTCATCTCAGACTTTCTCTAAAAACATAATATTCCAGTTTTAATGATTGAAGAAAAATTTAATTAATTGTTGAGCTATCCCCGATCAAATTAATTTCAATTTCCCCATAATTATTTCACGTAATTAAGCCAACGTTGAATATTAAGTTGTCATCATTGTTGATTGAAGTTTTTCCGGCTCTGCTATTCCTTTTTCATAGTTAAGCCGACTTAGGCCAAACCTTTTCCCCGACCGCCTAGAAACGACTTAATATGAAGTTGGCAGAAAATCCCATTCCTCCCACGCACTCACAGTAAGTTTCAGCTTCTCAAATTCGACATTAGCGGAATTAAAAGTTTTTCCATGCGGTGGAAATCTTGATAAAAAAAAGTTTTGCACTTCCGCTTTATTAAGCACAAAAGAATAAAACAAAAGGGGGCAAAAAGTTTCTTTTCCGCGAACATTATAATTAATACGCCACCGAATATCTGTTGTTAATATTCCAGAAATCCAACTAAGAAATCCATTTCCATTTAAGCAGCTTTACAAACGGCAATTATTATCTTTCTATTATGCAGATTAATGCAGTCTGAGGCGAAGTGCTGCTATCAACTGAGCCACAAATCACTGAAACCGCCTTAATGCAATCCAATTAATTCAGTTGGAAATCTAATTGGAGATATCAGTTTTTGGTGTCAAAATAAACCGAGGCGAAACGAAAACAAAAACATTGGGGGCCCAAACGGAAACAGAAACAGAAACTGAAACAAAGACAGAGACAGAGACAGAGACAAAAAAGCAGATGTTGGGGTATGTGTGACGTCATTACGTAATCAAATCAAATAACAATTTGTACTTTGTTAAATTTCTTGTCGCCATCGATTGCCGGCTGTCTTCGCCCCGACAAAAATGCAAATTTCCAATGTTTTATTTTTTCGTTGTTGTATTTCTTTGATTGTTTGTCGCCTTTGTGGCTTATTGTTTTTGCCTTCGATGTTTCTGTGTTTTATTACGTGACAACTTTGAATTAGTCGCTGGGTTTTGGCTTTGGATTCGTTCGCTCGGTTTCGATTGTTTGTGTTTTGCCTTTGATGCCTGCCATCCGCCATCTCCCTCGCTCCCTTCCTGTCCCCGTCTCTCTCCTTTTAGCCCTATGTGGCGCAAAATTACTCGGTGTCGCATTTTTATTGCCCAGCTGACACATAAAGTCAAGTGGCGAACTCAATCGAAGACAGACCCCTCAGCAGTGGACTTTTCAATGGGTTAAAGTGGGCCGAAGTGGGTCAATGTGGGTTAAAGCGGGGTGGGGGCAAAGGACAAGTTTATGATTCCAAGCAAAGGAAATATTGCAATTACAGTCCATATTGACAATCAGTCAGGGAAAAAATATGTGCCAAAAAAGAAAGAAATCTTGTTCGTTTGCTAACTTTTTTCAAAGAGAAGGAATATTTTTTACAGGTCAACGCTTTAATTTGTTGTCGATTTCAAGGTGTCGTTTTTCATGTTTTTCAGTTTATAACTAAGTCTTCAAAATTGGTTAAATAAAATAGCTTAAAGTACCATTTTAAGTACGAAAAAAAACAATGGGCCATATTGGCAAAAAGGGGTATTTGTATCTAAGTTTTTTCAATAAAAACTATATTTACTATTACCAAATGTCAATCATATTATAGCTTCAGACAGAAAATGTTTAAAACTATACATCCATAACACTTTACCTGCGATTTAAATTATGAACTATTCCTATGGAAATATACATATGTGCAACTATAGTGCCATACATAGCTATTATGATTGTGATAAGTAAATTAATTCGGTTGCCATCGACTCTCCATCTTAAGTCCAAAGCCCTCGATTAAGTTGCCCATTTCAAAATCAAAACTTAATTTGCCGCAAATGCAACTAATTCATTTCGGCTATCGCGATGAGATGTGTTTGAGCCAGATTCTTGTGCTGTTGTTGTTATGCTAATTAAAACGGAAAACTAATTTCGCCTAATTAATGATGACCGATTAAAGTGGATATTCAAATAAGCCCCTCCCAGATGGCGATAAGGTATTCCGGGTTAACAGTTTAAGCTTGCAACTGACTAATTGCAGTCCCAAGAAAGTGCAAAGTGCAGACCGATATTCCAGTGCAAGGTGTCACATATCAAAACCGTCCGACAAACAGACAGTTGGGTCGGAAAACAAACAAATGGAAAACCAGACAGACTGGCAGACAGTCAGTAAGAGAGTGGAATAGTGTGCACGCGAAAAATTAATTGGGTTTCTGGTAAACTCAAATAAAATTAATAAATATTTAAAATCTGAACAAATATATTTATTGTGAACCCCAATATAAAAGGAAATACAACTAAATTCTTACATCAAAATGTAACGCAAAATATATTTAATACTAATGCAAAAAACTGTATTTCTCAGTTTATAATTAAAAACAAAGTTTAGTTTTTTTTTTGTATTTCAGTCCACTTTTTCGAAATACTTCGTGTTGGGCTTGCTTTTAGCAAAGCCAAAAAGAGCAGAAGCGAAAACGTGAGGGCAGATTCCCCGTCGAAATCAATTTGCGAAATTTATTAAATTTAAACGTTTAGCGATAGCGTGAACCTGACCAACGACAACAATAACACGTAAAGTAAATTGAAAAAAATAAACCGAAACATTGATGTCCCTACAGTAATGATATAATATTTTTAACGAGCAAGTGAGTCGCCATAATTTAAGAGCATTCCACAATTGACACTATTTTTTTATACCCTTGCAGAGGGTATTATAATTTTGGTCAAAAGTGTGCAACGCAGTGAAGGAGACATCTCCGACCCTATAAAGTATATATATTCTTGATCAGGATCACCTCCTGAGTTGATATAGCCATGTCCGTCTGTCCGTCTGTCCGTCTGTCCGTCTGTCCGTCTGTCTGTCCGTCTGTCTGTCCGTCTGTCTGTCCGTCTGTCTGTTTCTACGCGAACTAGTCTCTCAGTTTTAAAGATATCGAATTGAAACTTTGCACACACCCTTCTTTCCTTTGCACGCAGTATATAAGTCGGAACGGCCGGGATCGGCCGACTATATCCTATAGCTGCCATATAACTGATTGATCGGAAATGCCATAACTCTGCTGTTTGTTAAGTTAGGAAGTTGGAATTTTATATGGGTTTTATATTTGGCCAATCAATCCGACCTACCAAATTTCATAAAGATCGGCCGACTATATCCTATAGCTGCCATATAACTGATTGATCGGAAATGCCATAACTTTGGTGTTTGTGAAGTTAGGAAGTTGGGATTTTCTATGGGTGTTATATTTGGCCTATCAATCCGAACTACCAAATTTCATAAGGATCGGCCGACTATATCCTATAGCCACCATATAACTGATTGATCGGAAATGCCACAACTTTGGTTTTTGTTAAGTTAGGAAGTTGGGATTTTCTATGGGTTCTATTTTTAACCAATCAATCCAACCTATCAAATTTCATAAGGATCGGCCGACTATATCCTATAGCTGCCATATAACTGAACGATTGGAAATGCCATAACTTTGGTGTTTTTAAAGTTAGGAAGTTGGGATTTTTTATGAGTATTAAGATTGCATCATATGAATAATTTTGGAGAATATAATTTACAGAATATTCTGCAAGGGTATATCAACTTCGGCTCCGCCCGAAGTTAGCTTTTCTTTCTTGTTAATAATCAATTAATTCACGAAAAATATATACAATTAAAATTATTTTTTAAAAAATATGCATGTGTCACCGATTTATTTTGCTTAAAAAATATATTTTTATATACAAGTTTCATATAAAAATTAATTTTATTTAACGTTTGAAATATTATTCTACTATGTAAAAAAGAAGGGAATTACATTTGCAGTAGGCCATAAGCATTGAGAGACGTTGCCCAAAGCCGCTAACTCGATTTAAATTACGTGAGCGTCCAGTCAAGTTTAAGCCGAGTTTAATCGGAGAGTTTCGGCCAAGTTTGGTCAGAGAGTGCAAGCCGAGTTTAACTAGGGAGATTAAGCGGAGTTTGATCAGAGAGTTGGAGGCGCAAAAGTGAGAGGGAAGTGAGGTGCAGTGCAGCCGATAGATTTGGGTTTTGTTTACACGCGGCCGATTGCGTGGCGTCTGCCCAACATTCAGCATTATTTAGTTTTTATTTTCGCACATTTTGCATAAATTAAAGTGCCAGGCGGGCTGACAATCTGGCCGGCGGACTGCAGACTGCTGGTGGCTCTTGGGCTCTTGGGATCTTGGGCTTTCGGGCCAGGTTCAGTTACCAATTTCGTGTGCAGCCGTTCGGTTTGAATGCGGCATGGCGTGGCTACATTGAGCAAACAGCGATCGAATGGAAATATGGTCACAGCAATGGCAAATCCCAGCTCTATAATGTGTGCTCAGTTGAGTGGATCGGCGGTGGTGCAGGTGCTCGTGCTGGCGGTGGTGCTAGTGATGCTATCGGCTCCACCGGCCAGTGAAAGTGCCAAGCTCCCGGACCGCCAATATCCCGCTGGAGTGGATTTCTTCGAGCACGAGTTCACCAGTTTGGCGGCAGGTGCGTTCCACTCCCAGTTTTTTCCAAATACCTAATTTAATCATTGAATGCATTTATGTTCAACTTCAATCGTTTGGGCCTTAAGTTGCTTTTTAAGGTGCTTTTAAACATTCAACATTTTATTCATTCACATGCTTGTAGATCCGATTTTCATTTTATATTCCGATTTTTAAAGAAGGTATTATAGGACCATTAAAAATGTACCTTCCTAACAAAAAATTAAAGGTTTTCACGAGCTTAAATTCTAAAGCACCCAATAAATAAGAAGATTACTAAGTTTAAAGTTATCCTGTGGCAAAACATGTTTTTTTTTTAATTTTGAGCAGATCTTGCTTATGTTAACTCTGCAAATCCAAACATTTATAGTTTCTATTATTTTATTATTTTTTGTTCTTAAGTACATACTTCTATGAGCTATATTTTTTTTAAAGACATTTAAGGATTTTTATTATTACTCAAAATGTATTTTACTAAGCATTTATTGATAAGCTTTTAAAGTATGTGAAATATTTCTATGAACCAGACTAATTCCTTTTCCCGACAGACGAATACGACCCCTTTGGCCCCGATATTGGCGATGATGACTTGGGAATCGACGATCCGGAGACAATGCCTCGCCTGTTTCAAGGAGACATTGCCATCGATCCGTACACCTATATCACTCTTCGTCTGGGGGTAAATCCAATGAGACATCCAAAACGACTCTGGCCGAATGGAACGATTCCCTTCGAGATCAGTCCACGCTACGCCAATCCGGAAAGGGAGGCTATAATTCAGGCCGTGAAAACCTTCAATTCCCTAACTTGCGTGCGGTTTGTGCCCTACGATGGAGAGGTGGATGACTACCTCTTGATCGAGCCACCTGTGGAAGGGCCCCAAGGATGCTGGTCCTATGTGGGAAGAAGGGGGGGAGAGCAGGTGGTGTCCCTCCAAAGACCCGATGACAACAGTGCCCACTGTTTCAGCAGCGAGGGAAGAATAATGCACGAACTGATGCATGCCATAGGCATATATCACGAACAATCCCGAGCCGATCGCGACAACTTTGTGAAGATCCACTGGGACAATATCGTCCCTCGATTCAGAAAGAACTTCAAACTGGTCTCGAAGAAAAAGGGGAAGTACGCCTTCGATTACGACTACAATTCAGTGATGCACTACGGGGAGTTTTACTTCAGCAAGCGGAAGGGCGAGAAACCCACCATGACCCCTTTGCAGCCAGGAGTTAGGATCGGACAGCGAAAGACCATTAGCAAGATCGACTGCCTCAAGATCAACGAGTTGTACGGATGTCTGCAAGGTCGGAGGGCCAAAATGTACCGCAGCTTCTGCCATCTACTTGGTCTGTAAATGCATTCTGATCCAGAGATTTTATAAATCACATTGATTTGTTATTTAATAAATTAATTCGTAGACTTTAATAAACTGTCTCCAGTGTTGTGTGAAACGGAAGAGGAAAAACATACATAAAAGTGGAACTAGTAAAAAAATTATAAAAATCAATTCTTGGAAATTAGACCCGAATACTTTAAATCTTCACAATAATAGGGAAAATGCATTAAGGGCCGGCTTCTCGTCTTCATACCACATATAAAGATCAAACATTTCAAAACATTCAAGCTGAACATCTGCTTTAAATTTAAATTATAAATTTGAGGGTATATTTACTTTGTTAAAACCTATGTTGCACGTAGTAGAAAGCGTATTCGATTATAAAAAGTATATACATATGTATATTCTTGATCAGGATAACTAGTCGTTGAGATTTCGGAAACTAAAAGAGTCAAAGATTCAGTATTTCACGCCCATTCTAACATTCCCAAATCGCAAAATTCTGTCATGTCACTCTGAATTATTGTAGATGCCAGTGCTAAACAGTTTATGTTTATTCGGTCAATATTTATTGACACAACAAAACTTTTGGAAATAGATCCATTATTTTAGAAGTTACTAGCTGACGAATTTTGTTTCGCCTTAGAATTTCATTATTTTTAATTTGTTATGTTTGGATAATAAATTTTAAAAAACAAAATAATTTTTATGATTTTTGGCTCGGTATATTTTATGGATTTACTAGACTCAACTTTCCACAATTGATTAAAGGTCATGGCGAATGCAGGACGGATCGGAAATTAAAGTCACTTGATCTTCGGGATCCGCGGAAAGAGAGATTTCTCACAAATCACATTGTTCATCAATTTACTTACCACCACGTCGCAAAGTTTTGTTTGTTTTATATTTCGAAGAATGACTACTACGAAGCCAAACCTTAGTACCAAATCCATAGAGTTTAAACATGCAGTTGGATAGTTAGTGGCTTCAACATCATGTGTTACACAGTTCATAGATTATAATGAATATAATTCACTTTCTGAATTATATAGTTTAATTCTACTATTTATTCTTCGCAGCTAACATTTTTCGGTACTTAAGCATTTAATGATGACGTTTTGAGAATACTTTATTGATAGGTTCTCCTTTCGATGAGACAAAGCTACACAAATTCTGAGGAAATTATTTCGCCATCAGATGTATCGATCAGCAATACAACTCTCATGAAGTTTCTTCACAAGAATTATGAATTATAGTAAAAGCTAGAGACAAGACGTTATTTTGTCGGCAGCAGTTTTTGGCGAAAATCGCCAGACAGTAAAATCATTTCGCCTCCAAAACATCTCGAGTCATTGCATTTGTCCCAGATGATCTTGGATGGTAATAAAACTTTCCTCATGGCGAAGGGTTTGGCAAACATTACATGTTGGTTCTTCAATAGTTAAAGATTTTATGCTGAATGCGTTTAAAATACAAAATATTTTTCTTATTGAGCATATTCACGTTTCTATTCCCGATTTAACGCGTCATTCATTTCACCATTGTTTTGACATATTTTTAGTAAAGAGCAAATCCCGAATATGGAAGAACGGAATTTCCTAAACTGACACGAATTTGTATATAATAATCTTCTGACATTTAATCCTTGTATTTATGCCACAGGCTAGATGCGTTCGATGAAAATTACGCGAAAAATAATAGGAAATAATATGCATATCTGACTTAGAGAGGCAAAGACAACTACATACTTCGACGATACGACAAACGTCCCAATTTATACCATTAACAATCCGCAGTAACTCAAATGATGTTGGCCATGCAATTGAACAATTTCTATTTATTTCAGTGGCTCCCAGCAGATGGGGCAGTATCTGGAAATATCGCGATACATCCCGAAACAGGCATTGTCCAGAGCATGGAAGCAATTCAGGAAGTGCATGTCTCCCTGCTTCATATCCATCAGACACACGATGCACTTGTCGCCCGGCACGCTGCAAAGAAGTGAAGGATTTGGAGAAGCTTTTCTTGAACTCCGCTGACTCCTGGACTTACCTGCGCCGCGTACGCAGATCCCTGATTTTCCGGTCCAGTCTGGCATACTCTCCGTCCTCATCGCTGCTAATCTTAAGAGGCGGCTCTTTGCTCTTTCTCTTCAAGTAGAGAACCGTGAGTGCGCTCGCCAAAACCAAGAAGCAAAAGAAAATCATTTTTCACCGGAAATAACGCAATTCAAAGAATCAAATAAGCAATTGATATGAAACGCCAATGGGTTTTTGAAAATCCCCATAAATATAAATGCTGCGTAGGCAGATGGGCTTTATAAAAATACCAAATCAGAATTAGGTCCTCTAAAACTAAATACTGAGTATATACACTAAAGCCTAGTATTCAGATCGACAAACGAGTATGCTAACGTAAAAACTTTAATCTTTCCAGTGTGACCAAAATTTAAAAGATATTATCAAATACCTTGGCAAGACAAGTCTGCCGCTGTACAAAAATATTAAAAAACAATACAATTTAAATTTAACAGTTGTTTTTTTTAATTTACTGATAATTATTTGCTTATTTAAAGTTCATAGCTGCACTTTTATTTTTCTTTTTCGTACATTCTGGACCTAAAAAACATTTTGCTCTGACAAGAGGCACCCCAGATAGTATTAATGTTATTTTGTCCTCACATGTAAACACCTGCAATCGACTTTTGTGAGTTTTTTGAGTTTTTCACTCTATTTCTTATAATGTTCAGTGAGAAGCGCACGCCAAAAGATTAAATTTTTTAATCTTTTCGCTAGGGTTCACCCAAAGTTCATTTCCGCAGACTGGCAACGCTATGGAATTTTTTGATATTTTTTCGTCGATCAGGGGACCGACGTGAAAAAAAGGCCTGACGAAAAATGAACGCCAGCTGTTTGCCTCTCGCTCTCTCTCATGACTGGCGTACGGTTTTCGTCGATCTGGATACTAGGCTTAACTGACTAAACTCAGACCGAAAAACATGTTGGAGAGTTTTTTAATTTTAACTTTTTGTCCACAAACCCAGCTAATTGAAAGTAAACCGTAGGACACTCAGTTCTGATGAATTCTGAAACATGCGGACACCCTGGAAAGATTAAAGTAAATAATAGTTCAGATTTATATGACTTGAGGAACCAGATGGTATTTTTTTTTCAATTTTTAGATGCGGGTTAACTTTTATTATAAAGCCTAGTACTTCGCCAACTCCCAAAAAAAAGGATAATAGATAATTTGAAATCAGCTGTCTGTATTTTGCTTAACTGCCTAAAGCCAAATTGTTAATGTCTGCTTTATTCACCCTATAAATTTTAATTAATACTCCCACATCTTTTTTAAATTTTTCAATATCAATTTTCAATTATAGCCAATTCTTTTGCACTATTTTTCATGGCAAATATTTCGAATGAACATTTCATATTTTTATTAAGTAAATTGATGTGCGATTGGCAAAATGTGAAAATTTGAACCAGTGGAACTGCGCTATTAATTAATGAATTTTATTTTGGAACTTTTTTTGGCCATTTAATAGAACAATTCAGTTGCTACTTGCATTTATCTTTGCGGCAATGTTTTCATATAACAGTAGTCTATGCGAAAGCTGTTCTGTGATTTTGTTTTAAAGTTAAAGGTAATCTTATGGATCCAGCACTGTAAACACCTAATGAAAAACACCCAAAATCTAAATAGTGGAAGCCTGGCTTCAACATCCAGCCCTGGTAGTTTTCAGTATTGTGTGAAACTACGAAATGGGTTGAGTCTCTGCTATAATATGGTCACTCTACACGACATTTTCTCTCGGTCGTGGAGCGGGCACACTAAAAGCCGTTGCTCGAATTTTCGCCTCCATCTACGGCCACTCTAATTTTGGACGAGGTTAGGTAAGACACGCGCGGATGCCGCGCAGCTGTGGATAATTAATTGGCATAACCGAAAAGTGTATTTTGCCGTTGTGAAATATGCTAAAACTAGTGCAATATATGGCCCGCCGGGTGGGCGGGTCCACGCCCCAATCAGCCGCCTGCGGCTGGGGCAACTTGCTATTGATTTCCCCGGGTTCGGGTTCCGAGAAATGTATAACGCAACGTCGCCATTTTCTTTTCTCCTCCGCCAGCAGCGGCACTTTCGCTCCTTCTTCGCTCTGCAACGAACACCGACAACAGTTCCACGGGAGTCGCAGGAATCGGGAGATACTACTAGCACCAGCACTACTGTCATCCAGTAGTCTCCAGTCGCAGCGGGCTTTTCGAGAAAGTTCGAACCTAGACGACCTCACAGATTCCATCCCGAGAGCAGGGCATCGGACGAGACGAAAGTCGCTTTTTACCGATCCAGACGAGAATAAAGAGGAAATCAAGATTGAAGGAATAATGTAAGTATTAGCATTACTTAGGAAACGCGTTTAATTTTTTCCGCTGTCGCCATTTTATCGCCCTTCATTTCTTTTTTCTCTACACCTACAAAAGCGAGTGAGAGGTGATGAGTAATTAGTGGAAGCGAAAAAAAGATATGGCAAAGAGGCAGAGAGAGAGAGAGCGCGGAGGAAAAACACATGGTTTGCTAAATTTTGACAGTTCGAGGTTTTTTTTTTTGTTTATCCCCCACATCCGCAAAGGAATAGAAAAAGCAACAAGAACGACAGCGCACGTCATAAAAAGAATTTGCCTGATTTGTGAAACGTGTTCTTGCTTCGTTTGCTTTTTTATAGCATTTTAATTTGTCTGTATGCCCCAAACACGAACACGCGCACACACACAGCCGCATATATGCATACATATATTTGTATGCATGTGAGTATATGCCTGTTGACGGCGGCATTTTTCGCGTGCTTGTAGAACAGTTTCGTGTATGTATAACAGTCGGCGGCTGTCACTGGCTAACGCCGTCCCGCTCACTCGCCAACATGCCTTTCTCTCGTGTTCTTTCGTTTGCTCACACGAGGTTTTTGTATCACGATGTTTCTGGTACTTTTGCCCAACTTCACTAATGCGAACGAAATTAAGAGGCAATAAATGTCTCATTTCTCGGAGCTTTATAATACCGTAAATAAAATTGTTTGTTTTGCTTGGTTTATGCATAAATCGAAGTTTATTTGCTTCATAATCTCGAGGTCGTGTTTGGTATTAATGTTTCTCAAACACAATTCAATTATTTTTTGCACTTTTTAATTCTTGATTCTCGGTTTAAATTAAGACTAGAGCCAAATATTTAAAAACCAAAATTGATATTGAGATTTTGTGATTGTCTCTATTATTATGTTATTTACGCTTTAAACGTTTATGTAGTCTTCGGACGTTTTCTCTAATCTCTGTGTGAAAAAAAAGGAAAATATTTTTATTTTTAAAAAAATTATACCTCATCAAATGTTCAACATCGAACTAATTTCATGCAAATCCAATATAAAGATAATTTTTAATTTTCATAAAAACCAATGTTTTTCGGTTGAAATCAAAATAGAAGAACCAAATGAAAGGCAAATTGGAAATATATCTTCAAAAATTTAAGTGAATCAATAGCCCTGTTCTCGAATTCATCCCATCACATAAACGGCACCATTAGTCTAAAATGTCAAATGACGCCAATTGATTATGATGAGGAGTTTTCCCCTTTTGGCTAGCTCGCGATTCGTCTTTTCGCATGTCAAAAAGCGACAGGTAGACACACAGAAAGTCGGAGGTGCCCCATGGGATTTCCCCCCTCGGGTGTTTCCCCCCTCGAAACTAGGGACGAGACATTTGGCTGTCTCATAAATGTTCATAGCGTTCCGCTCCGCTAGTTGGGCACAAATGTTAGCGTGCCACTGGGCCCTACAAATAGACATTTGGGGCGGTATGGGGTTCCAAATTGACAGAGCAATAGACAAGCAAAAAGGAGGGATTGGATCGAGGAGGTTGGCTTTGCATAGTGTACCCCAAAGTGTTGGCAACTAAAGATCACACAAATCTAGCTAGGAAAAATATAACAAAGTTTTGGGAAGTGTTTTCAATGATGAATGAAATAAAGGGTACCTTTAAATAGATTTTTTCAACTCTGCAAAAATCTATTTTAACTATTTGTATCTAATTAATTAATGATTTTAAAATTATTTCGCATAAGTTATTGATTTATTTATATTTTCTTGAGAGTTTGAATTTGATTTATATTAACTTGAGAGTTGGTTTACCTTTTTAACCACCTCGAATGTAAATCTTGAAGAACTTGTAATGCTACGAAACTATATATTTTTTTGACTATGGCCAGATCTGACTAGAAACTAGCCAAGCTGGCAATACTGCCCCCGAGTTGATTAATGCCAGAGCAATAAACACAGGGCTTTGTACCCGGGGTGGTTTAGTTGAGCAGTTTAGGGCAGGTAAATTGGGGTGGATAAGCGCGGTGAATGGGAGTAATAGTAACCCTGCTCGAATTGCATGTTGTTGTCAATCAAATTTCCTTTACTGTTTGTATTATTCGAAATTTATTTAATTTCCCTAACACGCAATTAGTTTTATTTAAGTTTATTGCGGTTGTAGCACAACTCCATGTCAGCTGTTTAGCAGCGTCGAAAGAAATCGAAAAGCGAAGAGTTACCTTCCAAAGTCGACCAGTCGCAGTTGAAATCCAAGTCCCAACTAGCAGACGTCTAAACGGCAGCATGCGAGCAAAGTAAGCCACCAAGTCACTCGTTTCTTTTTCCCCATTTTTCTGCCAAAGAAATACTTAAGAAAAGAAAATGCAGCTGTCGAGGCCGAGCCGAAAAATAAAATCATAGTTGAATATTGTTAAATTGCTGAAGGTTGTTTTTGCTCAAAAAATAGAGCAGAGACAGCCTTCTCATTCGAATTGATACCAAAACGTTGTTGGCTAAAGTGCGCAGCACAAAATAATTATAGATGGAAGATAAGAAGGAATTGATTAAACAAATGTACATCGTAAACCATATAAAAGATACCACCACGCCCTTTAAAGTTTACTTTATAAGTTTGTGAAATAGCAATTTACGAAATTTGAATGCGATAAATCTGGTCAATCATTCAAATTGTATTGAAATTGTTAATTAACGTAAATGTGAAGTTTAGTTTTACATTTGGTTTGCCTTCTGCCAGTCTAAAAATACAAATTTAAAAACAAAATGGAGAAATTCCACAGAAATTTGAGTCAGCAATATAAATTAAATAAAATCGTTCGTTTTAAATTAAGTAAACAAAATGTCTTGATAGGCTGAGACGAGACCGAGTAAACGTTGCTTGATGCAAACTAAGCATAAATGGACGATGGTATGTGGGAATTATATTTCTGTACAGAGCATT